CAAAAATTTTATTACAGAGTTTACACTGTATTTAATGAGATTAGATCGAATTCACGACCCGTAGATAATGTAGCCGCTGTAATTGTAGCCATACATTGATACCATTACTATGAGCCCGTCAAAGATTGTGTTATTGTATTTTTCCTATTTTTATTTATTATACTATCCACAATTTATAATTTCCGGTATACTTTTTATCATTTCCAACAATTGATTATTGGTTAAACAAATTATTGCTTCGATTTCCACAAGCCACGCTTAATTGAGGCTTTACAACAGTTTGTAGAGTTATGAAACATCTAATGACCCTCGGAAAACACATATATTTTAACCACAAATATTTACATAAAAAAGCAATCTTAATGGTTTAAAACGCGAAAGTTTATTTATTTATATAGCTTTATTATTTACAGAACCACAATTTATCAAAAAAAACATGAATAAAAACTTATGAACTAGCTTACAAATAAAGGGCGGCCTTATCGCTAAACAGCGATTTCTTCCAGGTAATTTATAAAATAATATAAGTATGTTCAGTGGTTAAAGACCTCTCCCTCCCCATATTTACATTTACGCTAACCTACGTAAATACCAAATATTTTAACTGACTAAAAAACAATTGCAACGTCTGGCTATAGTTAAAATCGATTGTCAATAAGTTGAACTAATTCATGTCGCATTCTAAACCGTTCAAAGTTTTTTATTAAAATTATAATATGACCCACTGACGTTTTAAAGACCTAACTAGTTCTGTATTAAAACGAAAAATATAATTCCTACAAATAGTTACTTACATCGTGCTGCGTTATTCTAAACACATTTAACTCTATGGTGCAAAACTAAGTATAATTTGTTAATACTTGGTTCCGTAGCTAAGCATTATGATATCGGGGGTCCGCGACCCTCTTGAACTGTCGCCCTTAGTGGATATCGATTTGACAAAAAAATATTTCGAATGACGAAATCGACCAAATTGTCATCAAATTTTAATATCTAAATATGAAGGTATATAATATCAATTTGCACTTTTATATTTATTTTAGATTTTAGCATTTTTGTATTGTCTATCGGACACACATCTGTAGACCGCCTCTGTAGCCAAATGGTTAAACGTGTTGGCCTAGCATTGTGTTAAGCGCGAGAGGTCCTGGGTTCGAATCCCAGGGAAACATAAAATTGTTTCGGTCAGGCAGGGCACAGAAGTCTGATCAACTACTTGCCCGTTAAAAGACCCTTCAGTTTGAACGCGCTAATCTCAGGAACTACGGGTTCGAATTGAAAAAATCGTGTTGTGTTGGTAAGCATTTATCGGATAAGTTTTATAGACTATAACACACTACAATGTCACTGATAGGAGCGAAGATACAGCGAGAAATGTGAACAAAACGGGGAAATTTTTTCATCTCTGTAGGTTTCAGATGCGTACGCTGCCAAAACGGTTCAAGATACCTAAAAATTGTGTATGAAAGAATGGTTTCCCTATAAGTGATTTAAAAAAAAATCCGCGACGCTATAGCTTTTAAGGTTAACTAGCAAGAACGACGGGAAGGGACGCGACCGACATTGTGGCTTAAGTTTATAAAAATGACGGGGCTTGCAAAAACTTATTCGGATGCCAAAAATAACGATTCTCGCGGACGAAGTCGCTGGCACAGCTAGTGAATAATAAATCTTTCAGTCGGACTGTGGACACAAGTCTGATCCACCTTCTAGCCTGTAAATATATACAAACATTAAAAAATCACGACCAAAATAAGCAATTTCTTTTTTGAAGTCGGTAAAAAAATTAATAGAACCTTAAACATAAACGCGTTGTCCCATTCCCCAAGTAGGAGAACGACATGTATATAACGGCGACCCTAATACCGCTTTTAAACACATTTTAAAGAATTTAAACAACTTTGAAGTGTTAATTAATTACCCCGACATTCTCTGATTGGAATTTTAACATAGATTCTGTGCGCATGCCGCGCCATCAATGTATCGTGAAAAGGAACTAAATTTATTTGTATTGCTACATTACTAACAGCAAACAACATGTTCTGTACGTTTGTAAAATGAAAATTCCGTTAAAGGAATTGAACGAGTAAAAAATATTAGAATAGAATTTTCTTCTACGGAAACTAAATTTAAAAATCTCTATTCGAGAGACGTTAAACGTTAAAAAAATAACATCAATATATAGTTTAGGTGTATCATACTAAGCCAAAATAAAGCCAAAATCTTCCGATTAAAAAACCATATTGTTTTAAAAATGTCAAAACAAAGCGCTGAATATAATCTGTTTTTAATTTAAATATTTATCTGTAATCTATGATTATGTTCTGTATGCATACTCTATCCACTTTCATTACATATTAAAAAATGTCTGCAGTATTTTTTCAACAGTTCCATATTAAAATTTAATCCATGTACATACTTCTGTATATTTAAATTGAAAAAAAAAGAGAATTTATTTGCTACGCCTGTTTTACTAATAGGCTTTAAAAGGATTTCCGTTTACACATGTTATAAATGATACTAAAAGGTCCGCCAATACCGATTATACTGTCACTACAGGCTGAGGCGGGAAAATGGTCGATTTACTTCGGAGACATTTAATTTCTTGGCCGAGAGCCAAATAAACAATTAACGAAGTCGTCAAAGCCTAACGAGCGATCGCGTTTGTATTTGGAACGATGAGTCGGCCTGTCATCTTGACAGATTGGAATGGGCGGGCTTTTTGACGTTTGGCGATGGCGATGCATTGACGCCGATCTTTTACTCTTACTCTACTCTAGGTATTTAATAAGCGACATTAGTTCTAGACTTGTAATTAGGATTAGCTGTCTTTTAGGATTGCCTCGTTGGTCTAGTGGTGAATACACATGACTGCAAACCACGAGAATTTTTTTAAAGATAAAATCTGTGACTGATTGAGTAGCGGTAGTGCATAAAGCTAATCCGCACTTCCTATTGTCGTGGTATGAAACCCCATGAGACCGGCAGTCCGTTATAAATAGCTTGATACGAAATTATGCATTTTAGAAAAGTAATATAGAAGCAAAAGTACAGATAGAAGTGGTGTCGGGTGCGAAAAATGTTTACACAATTTTTTATTTTGCTGTATACTACACATTTGATGTTTATAGAGAGTTCCTTTTCAAAACAAAGTCGCTCTTAAAATAAACGATTCGGCTATAAGTAGATAGATACTGTCTTGCCAGTTATAGATGGTGCATGGTTTTATACGATTAATATTATAAAGTTTTTCTTCGTCAAAGATACAACAACATTTAAATAAAAACTTTAACCGTTTAAAACCGATATATTAGTTAAACTTATTTGAAAATATTTTTACTTGCCGACTTTCACTTTACGTAGGGTATTTTCAAATAATTTACTAAAATTTTTAATTTTTTTATTTAAATGATTATAGACAGTATTAATTTTTACGTTGTAATGAGTAAAATAAACTGCGTTCGCATTCGGCCGAGACACAAACGGCGCAGCTGTCAGTCAGCCATATTTAGTTCAAAAGGCGCGAAACCGTCGCAGCATTTCGCGGCTCATTTCAATTTTAGAACGCAATTTTCGGTTTCATTTTCAAAGAGACGCTAAAATGTTGCCAGTGCAATAAAACACGGGAAGCCGAGCGTGGTGTTGTCAGCGTTTGGTAACAAATTGGTTAATTGCCTTCTGGTTATTTATAAAGCTGGTAGCAGATGAGTGAAATCTCATTAGAGGACTGTTGACGTCCAATTAGAAAAAACAAAATCTTTTAAGGTTTGTCTAAATTAGGATTATTTACCCATCCTAGTACATAAATATTTGTGTACGATGATAAGTAACTTTATAACTTTTTTAATAGTTAAGTACTGCAGAAGAAAGCGCTTGTGTAAATATTCGTTACTAGCTGAGTCAGCGACTTCGTCCGCGTAAAATAGTTATTTTGGGCATCGAATTTGTTTTTGCAAACTGCTTGTTTAACTCTATAAATTTAAGCTTTTACCCACTTCATCCGCGTCTCATCGTTCGTGTAAGATAATCTTAGAACAAAGACATATAGCGTCGCGGACTTTTTTTACGATCAAGTAAAGAGTAATCATTCTTTCATAATATTTTGGTATTAAACCGTTTTCGCAGCGTACGCTACGGAAACTTACATGTATAATAAATAATTCTCCCCGTTTTTTTTCACATTTCCCGCTGTTTCTTCGCTCCTATTAGTCATACCTTCCTTATAGCCTATAATCTTCCTCGATAAATGCTCTAACCAACACAAAAATATTTTTTTTAATTTGAAGCAGTAGTTCCTGAGATTAGCGCGTTCAAACAAACAAACAAACTTTCAGTTTAGTTTTAGTATAGATATAGATTTGACAAATGGACGCATTAATGTAAACTAAATCTATTTTGTTGTATTGAACTATGTCTCATCATTCTACATTTAGTACTGTTATCCTAATATCAAATATAGACATGAAAAAATATTTAAATGTTTATTCAATTATTAACCAATTTTTTTAAAGATTCAACTAAGCTACCTCTATCTTAACTGAAGAAGGAATGGTCAAAAAAAAAGTAGATTTTATGAACATTCTACAAGGACTGCCATCTTGTATTGAGTAGAGTTATGTATTTAATACCAAGGTTGGTCCGACAAGGTCACATGCTAGTCATAGACAATATTTATTAAAAATAGTACTATTACATTTCATATTACTTCTTATTTATTATTATATCTAATATACACAAAGTTACGGAAACTTATTTTAAACACAATTATTTGTAGGCACTACTATAGACTGAATTCATTGTACTTTAAACATTCGTTTGATGTTTGATGACAAGAAAAAAGTAAAACACGTCACATATGGGAACTGTCAAAATTTGTTGTGTCATGTCCTAAATGTAATATTTTTGTCCCGCAATAACAAAAGAAATAGTTTAAAAAACATTGAATTAACGTTTCAAGTTTATAACTATAGTGGAAAACTTGAATAAAACGTACTCCCAAAATGCATTGGTTTGGAGGAACAATCGCTGAAGCGGTAACACTATCGAAACAGAAAAACGCTATTTTTGTGGTTTTTGTCGAAGGTAAATGAAATTTTGGGGACGTAGAATTGTCTATTAATACCTGTATAATGAATAATAGTAAAATATATTCATATTTGTCCTTTTTTGTGCAATTATTACGTCATTCATTAGCTTGGAGCTGTGATAACCTTTACTCTAACAAATAACTACATTTTTGATATTAAGTACTTATATTTAATCCTTTAAATACTTCTGAAGGTGGATCGTTCAGACTGAGAATATGTTTGTTTAATCTCAAAGTTATAAATAAGATTTGTATTATTTCAATGCATGCTCTGCAAGGAATGGAAAGATATAAATTATTTTTATGTACCTAATTAATATATATCGATCCCATTGCTACTGACTGAACACCCAAAAAAGTTACATGCTAGCTTTGCATCTGGAACATTACACCTACAAAGTTAATTTTACAATATGTTATCATGTGTTTAGTTTAACACTGATTTTTATTAATTAGCTCAAGCTGCATGATAAATGAGCCCAAGTCCAAAAATTTATTTCAATAACTATATATGTAGCTCTTAAAAAACCATTTAATTCATTTATTATTTAATTATTTATTTATGTAACATTATTATGTACAAACACCACAATTGAGAAATTAATGTAATAGGTGATATAATTAAAACTGGTGAACTTCTTGTTAGTCTTATTGTTGTAACTTTGCATTAAATTTCCAGGTGATAATGATCTTACAAAAGAATTGGCTACAACGATAGACGATGGAGCAGTTTTAAAGCGGTTAGCTGATGAGAATAACTTCCTTGCTATCAAGTTAAAGAGTGGCTCAGAAAATTACACATACTTTGCCCAAATTTGTATCCTTTAAAATTATGGTAGTGCCTGAATGTAAACATTCCTGATTTATATAGGTAGCATGTGCCAATATTTTTTTTACTTAATATCTTTAAGCTAAATAAAGTTATTAATTTCTGATTCACATTGACTCAGAATATGAAGAAGTAAATGAATTTTCCTCTGTTACCTTTGTATAAGTAAGCTCTAATAAGTTATTTACGTCTAGCCAGAAATTACCTTAACTCTTCATCAGATCAGTTTGTCCCAGTACCATCATTATTTTTCATCGGTCGCAATGGGACACCACTTGAAGTAGTGTGCCCTGGTGTGCAACCACAAAACTTAGCTGAGAGAATAGATCGTATAGTTGAAGAGCATTGTAAGTACATATATAGCTTAAAACATTAGCATTTAAATTGTAATAAATAATTTAAATTCTTTGCTTAAGTAAATGGTTTAGATTGATTTCATCATCAATATAATTTAGTATATTCTTGATTACCATTATCAATAATATCCTAAATTCTTAGTTTTAATAATAATTTTTCTTATATACAATATGAAAACTTTCTACAAAACATTCAACTTTAAGACGCAAGTGTTAACTTTGAAATTACATTGCGCGAGAGGTGCATGTATCAATAGGTTGTAGGACACGGTAGCTCATTTGGTTAGAGCAACAGCACGGAACGCTGTGAATGCCAGTTCCAGTCCTGCCCGTATCGTAATATTTTTCAATTTATAATCTATTTTTTTTTTCTATTACAATACTCTAAACAACAAGTAAAAAAAACTTACCATTGCATGTTTGTAGATAAGGGCAAGCCATCTGTACAGCCGTCTACGTCAAAGCAAAATATTAAGGAGCAAACCACAAACCTGCTACAATCGGAGGCCAGTGCAAATGAAAGGACCGCCTCCCCTGCAGAACCCAGGCCTGTTTCAACGGAACCAGGTAATTGTTGTTTTATTTGACTAACTAATCCAACACTTGGGTTGTAGGTTTAACTGACTCGTCGGTCTAATGGTAGAAATTTATAGCTAATCACTGGGCCGTGGGTTCGATTTCCACCAGGGCTAACATGTTTTAATAAATTTATTCATATCTCTCAAATACGTTGGACTCCATGTTAAAATCTGGATATTAAATGGATGGGAGGAATTCCATCCGGACCTCGAACCACCATCTAAAGATGAAAAAAAAACTGAGGTTTCATTGCATTTGTTTTTAATCGAAATTGTTGAATATCTGAACACATTGTGTTAGATGTGATATGTTTGGGGTATTTTCATCTAAGAGAACCTGCGTGTCTGTCTACCTCTATCATAAAATAAACTTATTGTATAGTCCCTTGTTGCATTAGGTGTATATGAAGAATTGTCTCTTGTCAGCTCTTGTCAACAAACCTTTTTCTTATCTCTTCTGGATACCGTTACCTTCGCACCCTATGAAACAAACCAGATGTTTACCATGAACAAAACTAGTATGTTATATTTCTTTTAAATAAAACACTTTAACGGTTTAAAACGCGATATATTACTTAGACTTATTTGAAAATGATTTTTAACTTCAGCCCGATGTTTCGGATGTTTTGCAGCAGCCATGGTCACAGGGAGACTAATATATCGCGTTTTAAACTGTTGAAGTGTTTTATTTAAATGTGTACTACTCGCGGAATCTAGAGACAGTATGTTTTATTTCTTTAGAATCCTCCGGACCAGCAGCGAAGATACCCAAAACAGTCCACCATGAGGTGACCCGTTCGGGGACAGAGTATGATGTAGTCTGTGATGGGGATGTCTGTGTAAGGAAGCCGAGGAGTGGGGCAGATGTACCAGGACCAAGTCATAGGGATGCTCCTGTAGACACAGAGACACAGAAGGATGAAGTAAGTATTCAATTAGTACTTAGTCTACAAAGAAATAGATATTTTTGTAGTTCCTCATTTTGTTTGACTAGTATTAAATAGTTAATTTATTTGCTTACTACATATATGGTAAGGTTATTTTGTTGTTTGCAATATTAATGTTATGTTCATACACTCTAACAAATAATTAGCAACACGAAATTCTAAACTCTCCCTCCTATTGGTATAATGCCTAAAACGTATCGTAAAGCATCCAACACGAACACAATTTTCGTATCAGTATAAGCGCATTTAAACACATTCTTCAGCCTTATTAGTCTAGTGTTAATTCCATACAACTAGCGCGCTATCATTCAGTCATTCAAATTGTAATTTCATACGAAAAGTCCTAGTTACATAATCACGAAACTTTAAAAAGATAAAAAAAAAAGTTAAAAAAATGCACAGTAGAAAAAACTCAAGAAAAAGTGTCTATGAGGATTAAATTACACCGGTTGGTTACACCGATGGGCGCCCGCGCCGTTCAGCATTGCACCGCTGATGTTCAGTGTCCCTCGGCGTTGCCACAACTGGAGAACACTAATTATTAGGTTTCTATGTATTTTCAAAGCTCAAATTTAGATCCACAACTCATTTTAGTTAGGTGTATAAATGTTTCACCTTTCACCTCACCACCAACAACGAACACTATTCTTGTCCAGTTGTGTCATAACACACTATCTTGTCGTTTTCAGGAGAACCCGGTACAAGAAGCCGCTTCTACTGGTAGCGCTGAAGAAAAAGTAGAAAGGGCTAAAGAGCTTATCGAGGCTAGACGGAGAGAGAAGGCTGAGAAAGAGAAAGAGGTACGTGTGCCCGAATAGTCCACATTCAATTAAAACATTTTTAACCGTTTTAAACGTGAAATATGTATAGTTGACCTGTAAAACGTCGGGGCGTATTTAAAATATATTGTAAATAAATTAACTAATACATTTCGTCTCAAACCGTTAAAAATGCCTTATTTAGAAGAGGTACTTACATATGAGATCCTCGATAAAAAAATTAGTTTTGTTGTCTACTTCAGAAACATTTGTCAATTGATTAAGTTTAAAGTAAGCAAATATACTTCCTGTCGTAAGTTATTGTAAAAAATGATGGTTGTAGTATGACCATTGTAATGTTTTCTGCTTCATTTGCTTGTGTGATACGCTGTTCCTCCCTCCCCGCCCCCCTTGGGGCATGGGCCGAACACATTTGAAATTATGCCCTTTGATTACAAAACCTTTAAAGTTCAAAGATCGAAAATAAATGTTCGATTCGAGCAGGACTTGAACCGGCATCGTCAGTGTTCCGTGCTTTTGCTCTACCATTAAACTACCGAGTCCGACCTTTTCGTGGAATTTTTTTTTTTACTTCTTTTTTCAATTTAATTTCGATTTTGAAATTATATAGTGCCATCGTGTGAAAAATATTAAAGTTTATTAATTGGTTTTCCACACACAGTTAGAGAGACAGAAGGAGTTGGAGAGGAGAGCGACCGGTCAGGGTGTGGCTGAATTGAAGAAGTGGCAGGCTGACCAGGAGCTCAAACACATTCAGGTAAGTTCGAAACAATAGGGTAATACTTAAAATGATTCTTAACAACATAATTTCAGGGCTTTGTGAGGTTTAAAATTGCATTAGTTTGACATTTACAAAAGGATGTAATGTTATGTAAATGTCAAACATACACAGTTACAAAGTCAACGACAGTAGAAGATAGAAGTACAACTCATGAACGATCTGAAAAGCGTCATAAACGTCGAGTTTATTAACAATGACAAAACAATAACAAAAAGATCATCAAAGTGATTTTGAATTCATCACTCACAAAAATACACAACATACTCACACCAAAACAAATGTTATCAGGAGGAACTCAAACGTGAGAAGGTGGAGAACAACTTGGCACGGCAGCGCATACTGGAGCAGATAGCACAAGATCGTGCCGAAAGACGCGCACGAGATCAACCGCAGCCTCAGCCGGCCCCAGTGACTCCTGCGCAACCACAGCAAAGTACGTTGCGCTTATAATATAATAATAATATAACCCTACGTTTTCTCATACATTTAATAAAAGTTTCCTTAATTATCCACAATACAATCGTGTTGTATGGGTAAAAAAGTACATTATTAGATTGTTACATATTGTATGAAAATAATAACGACTCATTCATAACCTGAGCATTGGCGCCTTAACTAATGTAAAATATTATATATTCAACTATTTTTCAAATGTAAAACCATAATAGGCCAATAAGTCGACAGCACATTCTGATCAAAATATATATTATAACATATGTACTATATGATAAGATACTAAGATGTTTCATATTCCATGAAGTGAAGCCATGTTTGTCTATTTTGCCTGATTTCTTCATAATAACTACTGTTTAGTATAAGTAAATATTTAAAATAAAACACTTTCACGGTTTAAAACGCGATGTATTAGTTAAACTTCTTTGAAAATGATTTTAAACTTCGGCCCGACGCTTCGGATTTCAGGGGAGACCCGCGTTAAACCATTAAAGTGTTTTATTTAAATATTTACTTATACTAAACAGTAGTTACTATTCGCGTAAACTATAGACAGTATTTAAGTAAATATTTTAAAAAGTCTATAAAAACTAATTTAATAACAAAAAAACCTTAGCAAAAACATTTGTTGAGATTGTTTTTCAATGGAGTCTCTATTTCAGCGTCAGGAGATGGCAGCACGCGCGCTAGAGTCCAATTCAAAATGGCCGACGGCGAGTCGCACACGGCGCATTTTGAGAACACAACTACAATGCTAGAACTACATCAGTATGTGGCGGATAATTTACAGGTAATTAAAGTAAAAAAACAAATATAACATACAACTTAGCAAACATATTAATAGATTTTTAAATATTTCAAAAGTAATTTAATTTTTAATGGCCGTCTTAGGCCTCTAATACTATGAAAAGTGGACATATTTTAAACTATTGTTGTTGTATCTAATAGTAGTACTAGAGACCCACCCCTGCTTCGCTCGGGTATAATGCTGATACTACATACACTACAAAAAAACTAAATGTTGAATACATTTTTTTTCCTCTTGAATTACTCTCTCTATTATAAAAACTCGCGTCAAAATCAAAAAAAGAAATGACAGTATCGCCCTTTATCGATAGTCGCGGGTTCTATTCCTGCATGCGTTATTCTTTATTTTTCCACCACTTTTTAAAGTTAATTTTTTGTAACATGCAGATGTCACGATCATCTTTCTCCCTCTGGACGGCGTTCCCGCGTCAGGAATTGACAGAAAACGATGCGACTTTGCGCGATCTGCAACTGATACCGTCGGTGGCATTACTTGTGTTGCCTAGACGCGTCGCGGTCGTCACATCTCGGCCTTCGCCCTTTAGTTCACTTATTGGTAAGCTTACTTAAATACGGATAATCCATCATATCCAATCCATAATCCATGTTACGTTGATAGAACTGTAATCAATAATTGGTAATAATTGCATTCATTTCGACCAAATTTTATTGCAATAAAACATCTCTTGTAAGTTCTTAAAAGATAGACATATATCATCGCTAAAATTTATAGAGAAAGCAGTTTTTATACAAATGTTTTGGTTTCTCAGCGCATGTAACTAAAGCCCTAAAAGATGGGATTTTCGGTTTCCACATTTCCCACTGTTACTTTATCCTAAAACCATCCTATGTGAAGCTTAAAACAATAAAAATAGAGCCTTCCTTGATAAATAGTCCATTCAACATAAAAAAGATTTGTTCAATTCGAACCAATAGTTCCTGAGATTAGCGCGTTTAAACAAACATACATACAAGCTTTACAATATTAGTATACACATTCGGACATACATCTTTCTTTTATTCAAATAAAATAGGAACTTAATCTACAATACCTCGCCACGAGATGGCGTTTTAGTCCGCTGAATCGCGCAAGCGATGTAAATTATCCGGATTCATATACAAGTTTGTCTTACTCACTTTACCCGACGGAATTTTGATATTAATTAATTTTTTTCGAGCTGTTACTTCGCGTTGCGATTTTAACAGCTATATTAAATTAAAAAAAGCTAATTTAATTAAAAATTTTTTATATTAACTGATTAAAAAGTAAAACGCGAACTGCATTTTTTTAAATTTATTTCAATATATTTCGCATTTTAAACCGTTAAGGAGTGTTATTTAAATGTGAGCTACTCGCGTAAACTAGAGACAGTATTTATCTTTAACTAGCTAACCTGGCAAACGTTGTTTTGCTATATGAATATATTCGACTTAATTTGATTACCACAAAAGCTCTTCTTGCGACTTAATCTTAAGAGATATATTCGCGGACATTTTTTAAAACTAGGTAAAGAAGAATAATTCTTACATATAATTTACGGTATATAACTTTGCATTGATATGCGATATTAAATAAATAATTAAATTTAATAAAATACTAACGATAACGCTGTATGTATTTGACAGATGTAATGACGTGAAACAATTTAACTCTACATTGTAGTTTGACAACGTTTGTAAGGGAATTAGAGTAGGGCTGCTTTTAGGTCCGACAATTTTCCAAAGTTTTCTTCCCGTAAAAACCTTCCTTAGATTACGACGGACATTAAAAAAAATGCCCAAATTGGTCCAGACATTGTTGAGTTATGCGCTTACCAACACATTTTTCGTTTTTTTATATTATAGATATAGGCTAAATAAAATGTGTTCAGATCACATTGTACACATGGATAAGTGAATTAAATATTAATGGTATATATAATAGTGACAATTTATTATTAAATTTTAAGAAGAAAAAAAAAATTAAATTCTTTTCTACTTTGGAAAACTTTGAAACCGACTCTCTTGATTATTCAAAAATACATTTTTCACAGCATTCTTCACTCAACTATTCTCCACAATGATATTGGATCCGTCGTATCAGCTCTACACCTGGATTTGGTCGCGGCTATTCCCCCAGCGGGGCGGTGCCCGAGCCGCTGCTTCGGAACCAAGCTCCCCCGTAAACCCTTCAGGCCCTAACCCCCCGGGAATCAGGCGAAGGGGCAACATTCACAGACTGACCGGGGACAGACCAGATGACGATAATAACACCTGGAATGGCAATTCTACGCAGCAAATGTAAGACAATATTTTACAATATTTATTGTCATTGCAACAATTCGATTTTTGTCTGCTGCATCGCGCTGCATGATGCGATGCCGCAACTTGTATAATTAGCGTATCATTGAGACTTGGACGAAACTTTGTGGAGCGTGGTGCAGACATTTAAATAAAATACTTTAACGGTTTAAAACGTTATATATTAATAAACTTAAAAATGTTCAGACTCCCCATGACCACGGCTGCTGCAAAGCATCCGAAACGTCGGGCAGTAGTTAAAATATTAACTAATATATATATCGCGTTTAGAAACGTTAAAGTTTGGTGCAGTCTTATTTCTGTGCCTGTTGATGTCATTCGTATCGTTATATCGATAATACGACAATGTTTGGAAACTTTATCATTTTTTACATTTTATTGCACATGAAGGCACTATATAATTTAAAATGCGAAAACTAGTAGTAGTAGGTAGGACTCGGTAGCTCAATTGGTAGAGCAACAGCACGGAACGCTGACGATGCCGGTTCAAGTCCTGCCCGAATCGAAAGTTTTTTCAATTTATTTTCGCATTAAAAAAAAATACGACAATGATTTATTAATTTTGTTGATTTTTTTTCAGGTAAACTATTTTTGCAGTACATACGTTGGATTTAGCTATTTAATATTATATTATAGATGCCAGGGGATGGTTTTAATATTCCATTACACTTAGTCCCTTCTTTGTTTTTCTGACTAATATTCTTTTGCAAGCATAAATCATTATTTGTATATACGTAAATGGTTCACTGACGCTTTGAAAATTAACAAGCACCATATGTAAATACACAGGTTGTCCTAAAACTCGTAATTTCCAAAAATATTATGAATAACCATTGTATTTACGCGTACACCGAGTAAAACACTGAACGGTTTAAAACGCGAAATATATTAATTTATAGACATTAAACTATATCATAAAGTTTCGAATGCTTTACAGCAGTTGTCGTGTCAAGGGGTTCAAAACGTCGGGTCTTGTTTTATTTATAACCTAGTATTATTGGCGTTTTTTTAAAACCGTTAAATTTTATTAATGATGAATAATTAAATGTCACCAATGTGTTGGCTGAATAATTAAAAATATAATTTGCATTAATTTAAGAAATACAATTAGTAATTTAAAAAATATAAAATTTACACGATATAAGTATTTGAGTGTAGATAACAAATAATAAAGAATACAATATATTCCCCATTATTCAGTATTTATTGCATTTTAATGACATCCACAAGCAATAATATTTTTTAATTAAAATGGACAGATAGTTTTATCGACAACCTGTGTAGTTAAACTAGTCGAAACACGCCTACACAAATATATTATAAATTGAAAATTCCTTATTATAAGTCTGTTAAGCTTCTACGAACACTTTTCAGTTTTCTAATGAAGTTATAAACCTACCATAATGTGATTTTATTTATAATAACTGATGTTAATAACAAGATACAAGTTTCTATTGCGAATTGTTTTTTATTCTCATAGGGGTTGTCCATTAATCACGTGTGGCTTGAAAGGGGGGGAGGGGTTTGATAAAAATCACGAAAATAACACAAGGGGGGAGAGGGGGTGTAGTAAGATATCTCGTGTATTTATTTTGTCGTCAAACGCGCGATTTTGAAACAAATTGTGTAGACATTTTTATTATGGTTCTTAATTTCAGAATAAAATAAGATTATAGTTTATACCTGTATCTAAATTCAGATAATATTCAGACAATTTTAAGATTCTTTGTAGGTACTAAAAATACACATGATGTTGAGAAGGGGGAGGGGGGGTGGTCTTAGACCTCACTACGTATCACCAATGGGGGAAGAGGGGGTTAAAAAATCTAAAAAAAGGTCACGTGATTAATGGACAACCCCATATATGGTCGCCTCTGTAGCTAAATGGTTAAGCGTGGTACCTAGGATTACGTTAAGCAATAACTTATTTCGGTCGGGCACAGAAGTCTGATCAACTACTTGTCTGTATATATACCCGATCTGTAATGGACACAAAAATGACTTCGCCCCATGCCCCATCAATAGCCATATCTGTTATATCAAGGGTGCCCAACAGGCGACATCGTTATTTGGACGTCTTGGACCATCGTGGGACCTAGAAAAGGTACAGAAGTGGCCTTTTTTACTTCCACGACCACTCTATTATGCTGTTGCTCTATCAAAATCTACCTTCACTTTGAGGTTATCACAAACACTAGAACAACATGGAACGCCAAGTTTTATTCCCGCCCGTCTCGTACAATAAATCTCATTAGTTTGATATAGATATTTAGATTTACTTGATGGAAGGTGAAGTATGACTATATAACATCTCAGCAATACGCCCTGTCGACCCATTTAGGCATTGGATATTTCGAAATCCACAGATTAAAACCGAAACGCAAGTAACTTTTTCGTTTTTTTTTATCTGTGGATCTCTACCAGCCACTATCCAGATATTTAGAAGAATTCTAATATACGTCCGAAAAATTATACTTACCTACGACTAACCCACGACCCGTTTGTGATTAGTCATACATTAAATACTGTCTATACGTTTACGCGAGTAGTACACATTTAAATAAAACACTTTAACGGTTTAAAACGCGATATATTCGTTAAACTTCTTTGAAAATGATTTTTAACTTCGGTCCGACGTTTCGGATGCTCTGCAGCAGCCGTGGCCGTTTTAAACCGTTAAAGTGTTTTATGTAAATTAGTCATACATTGCTAACGTTACATCAACAAGCTCCTCAAACGTCAAAATTTATATAAGCTAAAATACCTTACAAAACTTTTAATTTACAAAAAATACTTATTACATCAACACGTGACAATTATAAGTAAATTATTGTTATTCACAGCAATTGTCGTTTAAACCTTTTAAATAAGTATAACCATTATAATAACGAAACTCTCTCTTACGAAATTATAAATTAAGTGTATTATTACAGAATCGTATCGCATGTAGCCGAGGTTTTTTGATCACTTTCTCTTTGATACTATTATGATGACATTCAGCAGGGTTCAGCGGGCATGAAGAAAAACCTTGCAATTACTTACCGCAGTTACTAAACAGCGATAAATATTGTAATTTCCAGACTAATCGATAAAACACATAACAATATAACGAAGTATATTAGGATATTTAACGAAACGCAGGGCCGTAATAAAAAAAAATACTGAGATATTTCACGTGAGAAAAGCGAAACCTATATAACTAAAATTGTAACAAAAAAACACAATAGGTGTTACCTATTACTAAAATATATTTAAAAGAAAAGGTAGGTATATTCCAGATAATAATTAAGAATCTTACGAACGAGTGCAAAAAGTCATGATCTGTTTTGTACTAATATAGTCTGTATTTTCTTTTGGATAATATTGTTTTCGATTTGATTATTTACATTTGAAAACAACTCGAAAAATATGCACTATGTTAAATTCTCCTATCAGCAATACATACAAATTTTTGTTTTGCACATAAATCGAGTTAAAGCATTGGCTAAAAGGCCTCGTTACCGGGCCATAAAATATTATGAAAAAAGTAAAAACACAGAAATATGACGTATAATTAACATGAAGGACTATAAAAAAGCTACTATTACGACAAGGAGCTATAATTATTTGCCAGTGTTTAAAGAAAACAATACACGGAAATACATATATTATTTTTATTGAACTATAAATGACAGATTCTCCATAAATAATATTAAAACCTTATATTTCAATAGCCTTTTTCAAAATACCAAATTAAAGCAGATATAAATGAAAATAATTCTGAGTTTTCAGCGGAACCAACGTGTTATATTTTTCTATCTTAAAAGCGTAGCGAGACAGCCGCATTCTTAACAAAGATAGTTATTAATTTTTATGAATGGCCAGTACTTGTCACGGGTTTGAAACCCGCACGCGAACTACTTTCTTTCCGTATTTTAATTAAGTGCGTAATTGTTAAGTCACTGTGATTACGATTTTATTACTTCAATATTACCATAATAACTGTTATCGTTAACTGTTTAGGAAATTTTTGAAATCATTTTTACGCTATGGGGCACGAAAAAATAAGTGTGACTCCTCTTATAATAATTAATAAACTGAAGAACTGTTTTTATGGTAATCAAATTGAGATCAGAGAGAATCAGATGAAGTCACGGGCACAGGTAGTAATTGATATATAGATAATACATATGTAGACGATACATAATTTTTTCGCCATGGTTTCGAACCTCGAGAGCAGGAAACCTCCTATTACTGTACAAAGGTGTGTCAATAAAGTGAATTGAATGAGGAATTATAATACAATGAGATGGTTATGTGATACATGTAACTGTACTTGTACAGTTACACACGGTATACGCCCCAGAGATATATCGTAGGATAAGTTAACTCAGGATTATCTGTGTATCCGGGACGCAATCTGGAATCTTGGATGACTTTTCGGGAGACCATGACTCCTTGTCAAATATTTGAATAGACTTAGAGGAACTTTTTTCTTAAATAAATATATAATTTCTTATATTGTTTGTAGCAACTTTTAACATATGTACGCAAATCGTCCAATGTTCGTTTTAAATCCATTCATTTAATGCGGGTTTTACTCCGGTAAAAGTGTTTTATTTAATATTCTTATATTTAAATCAATTAATTGACACTGATACACATAATTTAAAAATCGAAAATAAATTGAAAATATTTTAGTCTCGGGAAGGACTTGAACTGTCAGTCACATTGATGGAATAACTAATCAAACTGATACACATATATTGGTTGGAAAGAACACTTGCAAAAGTTCTTGCTTCATACGGACAACGGTAAAAAAAAAAGCATTTATGTAAATCGGTATAAAATAAGGCCACACAAAATACTAGATAAAAATTAAACAGCTATCGTAGTGGCAACCAATTTACTACATAACTGTTGGCCTACTTATTAAATTACACATTTCGGCCTTATAACAACGACTAACGGGTTTTCCAACCAAAAGCGTTAATTATTCTACAGATGTTTTAAGACATAGATAACGAATTGCAGATATTAAAGACGTTTATATGTATCGACAAACACGATTGTTTACTAAAAAACCTTAGTTCGTTTTGAAATCTTTAAAAAATTTGACATAACAGGGTCTTAGAAAATGTATGAAAAAGAATAACAGAAACTTTTAGAAGTCGTAATATGACGTCTTTTAAATAAATATCTACATTAGCATAACAAAAAACAAATAGGCCGCTAGCCGACGTGACGTTAAGTTATTCTTTTATCTAATTTGTTAAAAGTATGGTTAGCTTTCCAAATCCTTAGAGTACACTAACTTAATCATGCGAAACGGATATTGTTCAACCATTTGGTTATTTGTTTCGCGTACTAAGGTATATTGAAAAAGCGAAAGTTTCAACCAAATCGCGACTCCGTTTACCGTGTGTGCTGGCATTGGGTAGGGCTGTCGATTAAGTTATTCTATTAACTATTGTATCCTTGATGTCAGCAGGGGGCGCTATAATCTTTCTAAATCGTAGTTGATAGATAAAATCTTAAGTACTTGTTGCAGTGAAAACATAACGTACTTAGTATAATAAATCCAAACAGTTGACTTAAACAAATTAATGCATAAAAAAAAATATATATTTATTATTTACATTTTATAAATCATAACATTGAAATCAAAGATAGAAAGTAAAGATTTTTTTATAGTTTATACTTGTTAAACATAATTATAAGAAGTTATCAAAAGGCGTACATAAATGCATCATTTAAATAAAACACTTTAACGGTTTAAAACGCGATATATTAGTTAAACTTATTTGAAAATGATTTTTAACTCCCCGTCTCCCCGTGACCACGGCTGCTGCAAAGCATCCGAAACGTCGGACCGAAGTTAAAAATAAGTTTAACTAATATATCGCGTTTTAAACCGTTAGTGTTTTATTTAAATTTGTACTACTCGCGTAAACTATAGACAGTATTTAAATGCATCATTTCCAGTAAATTTTCTAGTCTTTATAATATTCTATCATTTTATGCTTGTCTTAGTTCCTCATGCCAAAAATATTTAGTATCTAATAGCTGAATAATTTATAACGTTATTTAAACAATTGATTAGCTATTTATATCTACAATGTGTAACATTGAACTCATTGTTCGTTTCTGGGCCACTCTGTAGTCGACAGCCCTACCACCAGTTGCCGGAGAAAGAAGAAATGGCGGTCAACGGACTGTCAGTTTTGACAGCGCACTTCCCGCGCGATGACGCGCGCGCAGTTAACCTATCTAAAGCAAATATATCGCGAAATCCCTTCTCAAAAACAACTATGGATATAAAAGACATTATAAAGTGGTTCATACCGTGTTTTCACGTGTTACTATTACGTTTCGCTAGAATGGGTCCGCGGGCGACTTTCGTTTGTTTATTTTTGCTTTTTTTCGTGTCCCACTTACGCGGGAAAAGTGCACGGTGACAAAGCCGTAGGGATGAGTGAACAATCGAAACAATTAGATGTATTTAGTGATAGTTATAATTTAACTAGGCATAATGGTTCAGATAAAGATAGAAGAAGTTTCGAGGACGATACCTCGATAGGTAAGTTTTAATAAGTTCAAATACGCGAGAGCCTGGTGTTTGCTTGGAGGGTGAAAATGCTCTTGTCATATAACATGTCAACAAGATGCAACGTCGACTTATTTTGGCATCGGATATTCGGCAATCCATAGATCTAAATGGAAATGCGATTAAAAAACATCGTATATTTTATCAATAGTACAAATCTCTATACAAACATATCTATTTTACGTACACACAAATAACAGCAGATAGAAGAAGGCTTATGGATGGATGATAGTATTAGCTTTAATAAGGAGTCTATGTATTTTTAGAAATTAGTTATTAGGTTATAACTATTTGCTTTGGTTTTGAAATCATAGGTGACAAAATTTAATTAAAAAGATAATTTAAAAATATACGAAACAGTGATAAGTACATGTTCTGCATGTGTCTTTTGTGTCGCCAGAGAGAATAGACACAACTAAGATTTTTTTTTATCCACAACAAAATATAAATTCCGACGCACGACGAGAGATGTTCGTTCTGAATAGTGAAGACTAGAGAGCTCACAGAAGAAAAAATGAAAGATAAAAACATACGCCCTTGTTCCAAACTGTATTAATAATTAGTATCTCTCTTTTTTAAACCCGAAGCTTAATGGTTAAACGTGTGACCTAGCATGAAGCAAGTGTGGTCCTGGGTTCTCTGGGGAAATAGTTAACTTAAGATCGAGAATATTCACATCAATGTCCGACTTCGGGCAGGACTTGAACTGGCATCAGCATAGATCCGTGCACCACTCGCGCAATGTTGCTATAAATTCAAGTTGGGCACAGAAGTCTAGTTCAATTACTTGTCTGTAAATAAAATCTACCAGTGTCATGGATGAAAAGTGTGTTCGCGCCAAAGTAGGAAACTGTATTCCATTTATTATCTGTGTGCATGATATAACCTGTGGCCATTATAGAGCAAATAAGTTTATTTGCGATTATATCATCGCTTTACTAACATCTTAAGTTGTTTAAATATTTTTCATCGTCCGACCGTCAAAAACAAGGTCTCTTAGTTACTTTGCTTAAATACTACTACAAATACGATTTGAGGGAGTGGTGGATATTTCGAGTATTAAGAATACATTTTTGTATTACTAGACAGAGGACAGTAAGTTTTTAAGTACTACTAAAGAATCCATTATAAATAATACTCCATTCAAGAATATGACTATAAACATTGCAAAATTTCATCAAAACCGAATGAGCTGATTAGAGTATTACATTGAGCTGAGCAAAAACAAAAAAGCTGGAGTTTAGATTTAGGCAAAGTGCGTAATTTTTTTTATTATCTATGCTATGCACTGGTTGGTCTATAAATACGTCACCTGTGGAAAGGTCATTGACCTATAGAAGGGTCTATAAGAAACCTGTTAGAGCAGGGGTGAGCAACCTTTTTGATAAAAGCGCCCTTTTTCGAATTTTCAAATTTTGTGTTTCAAGCAATTCTAATTCACTCAACACTTTCAAGGATAAAAACGTCATCAAAATCGGATGATAAATAACGAAGTTAAGTGCGAACAAACTATAATAAATGAAAATAGATACACGTGTCAAGAACTTCCTTTTATTTTAAAGTCGGTTAAAAAAAATTAAAACAGAAATATTAAAAAATATATTAAATTGTATTTTTCAATTAAATTGTGTATTATGTTATTGCTCTTCTGATATTTTATTTAGCTCTAAAAAAAAATATTAGATTTTTTAATTTAACATATGAATCTCATGCAGCCGCTGGTTTCTCACTTCTGCGTTAAACTATGTATGTACACTGGCTAACCACAGTTTAGTCTGCATAACATAAATCCATATAAACCACATGATTATTACGCAAATAATTTCCAAGGAAAACATGAAACTTAAATAAATACTGTCTATATTTTAGGAGAGAGGTACACATTTAAATAAAACACTTTTACGTTAAAACGCGATATAAGTTAAACTTATTTGAAATGATTTTAACCGGGGGGGGGGGGGGGGGGGGGGGGGGGGGGGGGGGGGGGGGGGGGGGGGGGGGGGGGGGGGGGGGGGGGGGGGTTGAATGTTTTTAAACATGAAACTTATAAAAATAAACCTTTAATGTTTTGCGATGAAATGACATAACAAAGCTCGTACAAAGTTGCGGGTAGTTAGAAAATACAACTATAGTAAAATGTAGGTAGTTTTTAAAGTAGAGTGGTAAGACGATGTAGTTCCGAACCGAACAAAGTCGTGTCAAAATTTACTGAACAGCGCCGGTCTTCCACCAGCTCGCCTACCATATCAAGACACAGTTTACACAAAAAAATATCAATATATTTCTTTAGAAAGACACAGTAAACGACCCCTACAAACTTTTGCATTATTAATTAATTTCACAAAATATACGATCTAATATTATGTTTGACGAGTGTGTGGATGACCCATACATACCATAGCAGCAGTATTGGCTAATAAACAACGGGACCTGGGTTTGATCCCCACGGGCTCCGGCATATTTCTAATGAATTTATATTTTTTCTGAAACACGTTGGAAATCTGGACATTAAATGGCTGACAAATATGAAATTCTATCGTGGACACGAATCACCGTTTACAGATGGAAAAGCCGTTCAAACGCGTTCCACTCTCAGTCTGTGGATTTCCGTCTAAAGCCAAAATCCATTTGAATTTACCCCATGCTTATCTGTCTATTTCTATCATAAAAAATGATATTTCGCCTGATTCAGGCATCGAAACCTGGACACTATGAACATGATGTACAGAACTACTGGCCCGATAGGCTTATTAGCTTCTTAGAAATCTAGGTATTAGTATCGTCACGAAAACATGGCGTTTTCTTTTCTCTAAACGCGTATAAAGCTAGCCGAGTGCCCTCAATGACTTGTGAAATCACGGCCATATAGCATCTCATTTTCGTGCAAAAACTTGGGAAAACTATTTATCAAAAAATAAGCTGTAAATATTTTATCGGTTACTAGCTGTAGCCGCGACTTCGTCCACGTGGAAAAGCAAGTTTGGACAAACAACCGCTATTAATTTGTGGCTGATACCCACGACATCGTCCATGTCCCGTCGTTCTTGTAATTAAGCTTAGAAGATAAGAATTCGCGTCAGGCCTTATAAAGGACTTGATAGCAAAAAAGCTGGATTCTTTATTTTAAATTTAGGCACAGAGCGTGAAATTTTATATAATATACTGTCGCGGAGATTACTCTAGATCGTTTATAGAAGAATCATTCTTTCGTACATATTTTTTGGTTTATTGAAACGTTCTCGCAGCGTACACAAAGGAAACCCATAGAGTTTAATGATATTCTTAGTTTTATTTTGCATTTGAGATTTTTTTAAACTCAACCGTAGATCTAAACTGTATAAAATAATCGGTTGTGATTTTTCTTGCAATTCTTACTTTGTTTTTATATCAAATAGAGTAGAAGGACATACCCGAAGTGTAATTAGAAAAATAATAATGTAATTTAATGAGACTACTTAGTAGTTGAGAAGTATTTACAATTACGTATTTATTGTATAGCAAAATAGGAAATATAGAAATTAATGAAAGACCAAATGCTAAATATATAAGTTAAACTTGCATGTTTATTTTGGCATGCGGAATAATTTATGTATATATGTATATATGGAAGTCATTAAATATACAAAATTGTATTAGTTTGTAAGACATGTTGAAATTTTTTTTTTTAAATACTGTCTATAGTTTACGCGAGTAGTACACATTTAAATAAAACACTTTAAAGGTTTAAAACGCGATATATTAGAAAAAAAAATTAATTAAACTTATTTGGAAATGGTCTGCTGCAAAGGATCCGAAACGTCGGGCCGAAGTTAAAAATCATTTTCAAATAATTTTATTTAATTTTTTTGTTTTAAGAATCTTAAATTTTTTTTATAATTACATAGATAATAAGGGATATTTTATTTTATTTTCATCATCGATACATTTATTCGACCTCCCCTCCTAAATGTTAACTTTGATGTATTAGGGCAAAAAGTTTTCACAGAATTGCTATTTCTATTCTAGGTAGAACCTTCGGGCGTCCATTCAAGAGAATGATCCAGGCGTTTATTCCCCTGGCTTTTCAAATGGGAGCCGCGTCCACTTGGGCTGTGGTTGCAGCGTTGGTGGGGGTCAAGACCCTGGCCCTAACTCTGCTTATACTGAAACTGTTGCTGATCGCTGGCGCTGCTAAGGTATGTACAACCAACTTAAATCAAAGTTCGTTTTGATTTATTTGGTAATTATTGGTGTTAAGTTTTCTATCCAATTATTGAATTTATGCTCTAGTAACTTGCAAAATTCCCGCTTCAGAAAAAGTACATTTCTAATTGTAATTTCAAAGGTACAATACAAATTGATGGGCTCGTTGGTGAAACGGTAGACAACGTATTTAAGCGTGCTGTAATTGTAGCAACGTAGGACTATCAACGAATCGTGGGTTTGATCCCCACAGTCCAAGATGTTTCTAATAAATATGTAATTTTTCTGAGACATGTTGGTCTTCGTCTGGGTATATTCAATAGGTAGGAATATCGGAATTCGGTTTCAGTCTGTGGATTTCCGAATATCCAAAGCCAAAATTAAGTCAATAGTGCATCTTGTTTAGATGCTATGGGCTGGGTTTTTTCACCTATCATCGAGTGAACGCCACGCTTGTCTGTGTTGATCTATCATTAAAAAAACAAGACAAAGAGGCAAGAATTTTATTAAAACCGCTTAAGCAAGTTCGTGTATCTACCATTGCTTTCTAATATTATAGCCTACTATTTTAATTATTTGTACAGATTGGCGCCCTTTTCGGGGCTGCAAAGGGACACCACAGTGGTTGGGAACCTCCACATCAAAAGGAGATACATTTGCATATACACAACGGTCACCACGCGGAAGAACACGTTCCTATATGTACGTATTTAATTTTGAATATGTTATACACCTATATACTTTATTTTCCATTTACTCAAATAATACAACAGTAGCGACATGTCCATAGTTATACTTGCCTTAAATATTTAAGATAACCTTATATCGAAGTTTAAGAAAAACGTTCTTTATTAAAATAATTATAAAGTTTATAACTATTTAGCACGCACGACTATTTCTTTTCTATAGCAGCACCATCTCTTGTCAAATAACATCAATAATAATAAAGAATGTTTTTGTAAACTAGATGGCGTGCAAGCAAAAATTTAAGCTAAGTGCGTTCTGTTACTCAACAAAAGATGGCGCTTTTTCAGCTGCTTGGAGCCGAGATGGGCAAAGTTCAGCTGACACAAAACACGTTAACGTGGTATACGAAACCTACGGTGGCCCTCAGACTATAAGCACACCCTATGGACACTATATGAAAATCGATCCCGCTAATCCGCCCCAATAGCACTAGTCGTTGTAGTTTCATCAACGACCGCTAGATGGCAGTTTTATTAATTAGGTCAAAACAAGTAATTTGATTCTTAAAAGTACAATTTTTGTAATATTTATTACCTTTTCTGTGTTCACTTTTTAGACTATACAAATGCGACCCTTGTTCCTGTTCCGTTGTTAATAAATTAGGAATCAATAAAATAACTTTAATTTAGAGAGTTACCAAAAATATACAAAATAATAAGTATTACTATACTTTATGCAATATTTTGTTTCTTTCCTTCTGAAAGTTCGTGTCAAGGAAAGGAATAACTTATTAATAATGTTAATTTACATATTAAGTAATTTATTATAATATAACTAACTTTGTATATAAGATAAAATAAAAAAAATACATGTTAATATGAAGTGGTTTTATTGAGCATTGCAAATCATTTATCATCTATACATAATATTATTACGCGAAATTACAAAAAATATGGAAACACTAAAAGATGTCGATAAGTATAAAATAAAACATTTTTAACGGTTTAAAGCGCTTTAGTTTGAATTTATATATTTAATATTAGTTAGCTTATTTAATTTAAATTACGGCCCGATACGACGTTCAAGCTGTTACACTGTAAGTAAACTTATATATATTCCGTTTTAAACCGTTGAAAGTATTGTATTTTAATGTATACTAGTCGCGTAAACTACAGGCAAGATCGAAAAGTTCGCAGAGTTTTTTTATTATTATAATTAGATTATTTATTATTCGATTATATGCAATCAACGACAGTTATAAATAGTGGATAATTAAAACATCGATTAAAAATTCATAATAAACGATCTTTGCGAAACTAATAACGATGACGTCATTAATCACCATCGACCGGTTCTCCTTGGAGTGTAACCTCGTCTATGAATAGAGTATTTTCTCTATTATCTATGGCCAGACGGCTATCGGCGCAAACGCCACCTCTCAAACTAAGTTCATATTAAAAAGTCCTACTACTTTTTTGTCAGAATTTGACGCTTCCTGAGTTTTCGCAGTAGCAATAATAAAGAGTATTTTTTTAATAAGCCATGTCACATTTTATAAAGTATCTTAAAAAATCCTAAAAGTGCATGTTACTTGCGGCTTTATTGCGTCCCGTCGTTCTTGCAAGATAATCTTAAGAGATAGACATATAGCGTCGTTTTTTTTTAGGTCATTTAAAGAGGAATCATTCTGTCATACACATTTTTTGGGTATCTTGAACCGTTTTTGCAGCGTACGCCTCGGAAACTCATAATATTGAATAATTTTCCCAATTTTCTTCACATATCTCGCTGTATCTTCGCTTGTATTAGTCACAGGTCGTTCCTCGATAAATGCTTTAACCAACACAAAAATAATTTTTCAATTCAAACCCGTAGTTCCTGAGATTAGGGCGTTCAAACATACAAACAAACGCTTCAGCTTTATATATTAGTATAGATTAAATTCACGTACTAATCCATGTAGTGGCAACAATGTATTCAGCAGTACAGTATCTTACAATCATTGTAATATATATTTCTGATTTTTCTTAAAACATGTTGACTTCGTTTGATTGTTAAATTTCGTTATCATCTACAGATTAAACAGATGTGGGCTTTCAAATTCAGGTCGACAGTGCATCTATTTTTTTTTTTAATTCTTGTCACCGATATATACTACGCTAGCGACCCGCCCCGGCTTCGCTCGGGTGCAATGCTGAGACTAAATGCACTACAGAAAAATGTTGAACGTTGTATATAAAAATGTTTCTCTTGAAACACTAAATCATTAAAAAACAACCGCATCAAAATCGTCGTAGTTTTAAAGATTTAAGCGTACATAGGGACAGAAAAAATGACTTTGTTTTATACTATGTAGTGATATAACTTAAGTCAAATAGTTCCGAACCCAACTAAGACAGTGAAGAGATTTGAGAATGGATCGATGGTCTAATAAATAAACTATTTTTATAGGCGTGGCACCACGGAACGCTGTGCCGGTTCAAGACCCGACCGTGTCGTAATTTTTTTTCAAATTAAATAGATTTTTAATTTATATAATGCCACCACTACTGTCTGTAGTTTACGCGAGTTGTTCACATTGAAATAAAACAATTTAACGGCTCAAAACGCTAAATATATTAGTTAAACACATTTAAATTGTTTTAACTACGTCACCATGTGAAAACGTGTAAGAAATGATAAAGTTTTGAAAATGTCAGTAGACAGAATTCGTTTAGTGGCTGGAATCGTTTGTAAAACTTGAATCAATATTAAAATATAAATTGTCAATATGAGACTTTGACTTTTAAATACCAAAAGCAACGACTTTTGTATAAGGATAACTTCTATTATCTATTTAATATTATTGCAGTGCACTTTGCATTTTCGAGGTCACGATTGCATTAAACACACGAAGTTTTATCTGATATTTAAAAAAAATAAAGAGTCAAACGTGACTGATATTAAGATATTGTTTTTTATGTGTATATATGTTTAATTAATTTAATTGGTTGCGGTACCGTGTTAACTCATGTAATAAATAAATCATAATATAATGTTATATGGCGTACAAATAAGTTTTGCAAGCATAGTCGCGGTCAAGTGGAAGGCAAGACCATTTCGGTCGTACTGGGAAAAAATGGTATACATGATTAGACCTGTAAATAAAAGCGATAACGATGGATAACGAAAGAGATGAGATTACAAGCGTTATATGCATTTTTATTACAATAATGAACGTTTTTAATTATTTTTCATGTTCTGAGAAAATCCCAAAAAACTCTAAAACTATCATTATTATAAAGGTCATAAATTTTGTACAAAAACCCTTGTCTACACAAATGTTACCATTTTTTACTGTAATAAATCGTGTTTTGAACCGTTGAAAATGTAACTTTATATGCGCAAGAGTTTATTTTATTATGATATAGATTATATAAATATAATACAGCCCTTGTGGACTACGTTTTCGCTTAGCAACGCAATGCTAAGATCTCAAATATTCTACCTAACGCCGCCTCCGAACTCAGGTAAAATAATTTAAAATAAAAACAAGTTCTGACGTCAGACGACCTAGTCAACCTTGCTTGTTACCGAACCTATATATGTATATGTGTATGTGCGTCGCCGTCAACGAATTTGAATCTCTAAATAATTCTGTGAATTTTTATGTAAAGTTTCCCACACTGAGGTAAGGGGAAATAATGTGAATATAGAATTAAGAACTATTTTATTATTTTACACTTCAGAAGTTAACTTTAAAGTTTAGATAACACTTAAGTGATTTGTCTATTTTGAAAAAATAATGTAACAACGGTGGGAGTCGAACGGCTGGTGTTAAGCCGTTGGTGTATGAAGTGATGTGAGCTACCCTTATGCAGTTAGTTGCGGGTTCACGTCCCCGTTGTTTTAATATTGTTTAAGTTTAAAAAAGTGGTATATGCCGCTACACTTAAATGGCAACGGTTGATACTCACTTATGTGCATGGTTTACACATTTGATTAGGTAAATTATTTTAATTATTAAGTCAAACTTTAAAAACATACTAGTATTGTATATACTTATTATAGCTGTAGTGTTACCCTTATTATTATAATGTATTATTGTGAATCTCCATTTTCAAGGTTGCCTGGAAGAAATCGCTTTTTAGCGATAAGGCCGCCTTTTCTCGCTACATTTTTTTGTTGGTTGGTTTGTTTGATATTTGGTACACATAAACTTTAGCTCAGAAAGAAAAAAGTACTCAATAAAAAAAAACCAAATAAGACGAATCTTAACCCGTTAAAAGTGCTTCATTTGCTGTCTTCCAAGCTTCGTAAGTAGATTAAGTGAACAAAACGTAACCTCTATTAGGCTATGTCTGAAAGATCATAAGACACAGACAAAGCCAAGGAGAGGCTAGGTCAAAGTTCCACTCTCTTCTTTATTCTTCCATTATCTTCTTTCTTGATAATGCCTTCAAGTATTTTATAATTTTAAGTATGTACGACTTACTTCCTTTACTGTACTGACCCCACTGAGTCTTGGCTCTTTGTAACTTAGTTAACTTTATTTACTATTAACTGTAAGGATTTCTATACAAATAAGTGTATCTTTCTTTTCTTTCTACGCAAAATTATTATATTAAATTATGTAAAGAACAAGAGAAGAAAAATAGCTTATTTATTCGTCATTGAATAGAATCTGGTAATTCAACTATGACGTCATCTTCTAGTGAGCTATATCACTAGCTATGGTATTACGAGACTCAAACTAAAGATAGCTGAAACAAGATAGTCACTAGTAGGTTTTATTGATAATTACAAACACTCTGTATAGCCTACAAGTACACCTTAACGATAAAATAAGGCTTCTTCCTTATAGAAGTTGCAATAACTGGATGGCTTGTAAGCAAGATGCCCGATGTCGACCTATTTTGGGCATTCAGAACCGCATTATACAGACTGAAAATATCACGCGATTAAACTTTACGTCTAAGGAGACGCTGAAGGCAGCTGTGGACGTGTGACGCTGGTTCGTGACCAGGGCGGAATGTTGATGATCCAACCCCTTTTTAAATTAGATTTTGGACTACTTAGCACAAGTAACGAGATTCCTTTAAACTTGCAATCCACATTACCAATATAAAAGATTTCAACGCGCGCGCTTTCCAGTTTTAACGTGACTTGTTGAACTATAAAATACATCCAGAGAAAAAAATTGATCTGCAAAATAATATTTTAACACCGTCCGCAATTTAGGCGAGTAGTTCTTATTATATTAAACACATTTGACGGTTAAAAACAAATGAACATTTTGAATATATTGAATTATAAACAGTTTAAAGACTTTTTTACAATTACAATTATTACAACTACAATTTGATTCATACCATGAACGGCAATGGCATAAGGTTTTATGAATCATTATAAACAGTTAATCACAATGATTCAAATCAGTTAAGATCAAGAATCATTTATTCATGTAGGTAGCTTGGTACACTTAGAACGTCAAAACAGTTTAAAATG